CTATTTATCTTTTTGGTGCATATTAATGGACATAAATCATAATGAAGGTGATAATGACAAACAGTGAAGTGTAGTATTAGACCCCGACTGCTTCAACCCTGGCAGACTGACCATACCAAAAATCTCAAACAACGCAGTCGTGCGCTGGAGCGACTATGGCGCAAAACCAGATCCCAACAAGCGTTTGCCCGATATAAATCTGCCTTCCTTACCTACACGTCCTCCCTCCACGCTGCAAGCAAACCTACTTTGTAACCTTCATCAATACCTTCTCCTCCAGTCCTCGCCGGCTCTTCTTTACTTTTAACTCTTTACTCTCTCCGCCCCCACCTCCACCCAGTACCCCACTCACCGCCCACGAGATTGCTAACCACTTCCAAAGCAAGATCATCGCAATTCGTAGGGACATCGCCACTGCTCAGACTTCCACCCCACCTAGCATCCCTCACACGAAAACCCCCTCAACACTCCTCTCCTTCGACCTCGCCACTGTCCAGACCTCCACCCCACCTAACATTCCTCACACTAAAACCTCCTCAACACTCCACTCCTTTGACCTTGCTACTACTGAAGAGGTCACTAAGGTCTTCTCTGAAGTTCGCCTTACCACCTGCCCCCTTGACCCTGTCCCCACACAACTCCTATGATCACCCTCCTCCTCCATCCTACGCTCCCTCACTCACATCTTTAATCTCTCCCTCTCTACTGGCGCATTCCCCTCCCCTCTGAAGCACGCGCACATCACTCCCATGCTTAACCCTCCCTGGATCCCACCGACCTAAACAACCTTAGACCCATCTCCCTGCTGCCATTTACATCCAAACTCCTTGAGCGCTTAGTCTATGATCGCCTGAGTTCCCACCTCACCGACAACAACCTCCTTGATCCCCTACAGTCTGGCTTCCGTCCCCTACACTCCACCGAAACCACCCTACTCAAAATCACCAACGACCTGCTAACCGCCAAAGCTAATGGCCACTACTCAGAGCTCCTACTCCTCGACCTCCCTCTCCGCAGTTTTCGACACGGTCGACCACCCCCTCCTCCTAAAAAAAACTATACTCTCTTGGCCTCAGAGACTCCGCTCTCTCCTGGCTCTCTTCCTATTTATCACAGCACTCCTTCACTGTTACCTATAATGCTGCCACCTCCCCCTCACTCCCCCTCTCTGTTGGTGTCCCTCAAGGTTCTGTCCTCGGGCCCCTTCTCTTCTCCATCTACACCTCCTCCCTTAGCCAACTGATACACTCCCACGGCTTCAACTACCATCTCTATGCTGATGACACGCAAATCTATCTCTCTACCCCTTGCCTCACCCCTTCAGTCTCTGACCGAATCACTAGCCTACTGAACGACATATCAGATTGGATGTCACTCCACTTCCTCAAATTAAACCTTTCCAAAACCAAGCTCCTAGTTTTCCCCCCAGCCCGCGCCCCCCCCCCGACTTCTCCATCACGACCAACAACAATACCATCAGTCCCACCCCGCAAGCCAGAGTACTAGATGTCATTCTAGACTCCTATCTGTCTTTCCAGCCCCAGGTATAATCGCTGACAAATTCATGTAGACTTCACCTCCGCAACATCTCCAAAATATGTCCGTTCCTAACCTCGGAAACTACTAAGCAACTCATTCACTCCCTTATTATATCACGCCTCGACTACTGTAATTCCCTCCTCACTGGCCTACCTCATCACAGGCTATCCCCACTTCAGTCTATCCTGAATTCCGCTGCCAGACTCATCCACCTTACTAACTGCTCCGTATCCGCCACCCCCCTCTGCCAATCCCTCCACTGGCTTCCGATTGCCCAACGTATAAAATTCAAATTACTAACATTGACGTACAAAGCTGTTCATAACACTGCCCCAAACTACATCACCGACCTGATATCCATATACTGTACCACCCAAAACGTACTCTCTGCTCCTCAGAAGACCTCCTACTGTCTAGTTCCCTGGTCTCCTCCTCCCATGCCCGTCTCCAGGACTTCTCGAGGGCCTCCCCCATCCTCTGGAACTCATTATCCCAATTCATCAGGCTGTCACCTACCCTCCTCACCTTTAGGTACACCCTGAAAACCCATCTCTTCAGGGAAGCCTACCCTCGCCCTCACCTAATTGCCGATCTCCTCCACTCTTCCTACCACTCCATCCCCCACAGGTATTTCCTCCTGTACCACTATCCCCTCCCTCCTAGAGTGTAAGCTCCAAGGAGCAGGGCCCTCGAACCCCTCGTGTATTGTATTGTTACTGTATTGTCTCGTGTACTGTCTCCCACTATAATGTACAGCGCTGAGCAAACTGTTCGCGCTATTTAAATACTGTATAATAATAATAGTTCAGCTTCCTGAACGGACCTACAGTAAGCATTGTGACTTGGACAAATACCAGACGGATGCAGCTTTCCATTGTTTATTGTATGTGCAATGTTTATAATTTCCTTCTCTGTGTTTTAGGGTTTTTCTTATCTGATTAAACTGGAAATTGCTCGAGGTGAAGGCTTAAACATATCCCTGCAATTCCAATCTGTTTTTATTAGACTACAGATAATAGACAGATAGATCTGTCTGCCATAGGAGTATCAATGTCAAAAGATTGTAATAATAAAGATAAAGAAATGTTACAATAGTCTTTTACATATCCATTCTTACACCATTTAGAAATCTTTTAATAACTTTTTTAAATATTGCATGCCAGCACGGGGGAGGGGGGTATCCTATCTGTACTCTTCATTTTCAGTGCAGGTGGGCCAGTTGTTACAAAGCAGTTACCAAAGAAGGCCCTAATTACTGCATAAATAGGCTAATCTCCTTTACTTAGAGTGGGGTGGGGGTAGTCTAAAATAGAGAAGAAAAGGTAGACCTCATTTACAATAATGTGTCTAGTTCTGGAGACCTCACTTAAAAAAAGATATTGATAAGATAGAACGAGTCCAGAGATGGGTAACAAAAATGGTGAAAGGTCAGGGGGATAAAACATTTCAAGAGTGACTTCAAGAACTTAACATGTACATTCTGGATGAAAGAAGGGAAAGGGAATACATGATTGAAACCTTTAGTCCTCATGCACACTTGACATTTTTACAGCGGCTGTTTTTGGCTTTTGATGTTTTTTTCTACAGCCAGTAAACCCCCCAGCATGTTATCCTACGTGTCCATGCACACATAGACTGTCATCAACCTTTTTTGGCTGGAAAAAAACCCCCAGAACTAGTGGGTTTCTAGAGGAGTTTTTCAGCTGTAAAAACGCTCTAATGCTGAAAAACACTGAAAAATGTGGCAAAACACGTTAAAAAAACGCAAACCAGTGTTTTAGGACTTTGAAAAAAAAAAATGCTAAAAATGCAAACGTGGAAAAATGCAGCAAAACACCACTAACCATGGCAAAAACGCATGGCAAAACGCTAATGTAAAAACGCTAAAAAAAGCTGAAAAACTCAAGTTTTTTAATGTGACTTTACACAGCTAATGTTACCAGTGTTATCAAAACGTTCATTGTGCATGAGGGCTCAAATACATCAAGAGGGGTAATAAGGTTCAGGAGGACAGGATTTTCAACACAAAACCAAAATCAAGAACACGGGGACATGGACCTTAAACTAAATGGAGGAAAGTTCAACACTAATCCCAGAAAGTACTATTTTACAGAAAGAGTAGTTGATGCTTAGAATAAACTTCCAGCAGAGGTAGTGAGCCAGTCAACAGTAAATAGCTTCAAACATGCTTGGGACAAGCATAGATCTATACTCAGACAAAAAAAAATTAACAAAGAAAAATAAATAAACAAAAAAAACAATCCCCTCAAAAAAACAAAAAAAAAAAAACACAGAAAAAAAAAAAACCCCCCCCAAATAAAAAACCCCACAAACAAACACAACAACAACAACAACAAAAAACCATCAGACTCGATAGACCACTCGGTCGGTCTTTTTCTATGCTTCTAAGAACGGGGCTTTCCCCTTGGGCCTCACATACCTATGATGAAAACTGGATTCATGGGCCAAGTGTGTCCATTTAAACTGTAACTTAGGTTTTAGACTTGTAGGACCAGCTTCTGAGTGATTGCAAGCCACTTTATAAAGTAAGTCTGTCATGAGACAAAAAGAGGCTGTCACTGCTTGCCTACTGTGAAAAATGCTATTTTCCTGGTTTATATGGTGGCGCACTGACTTAATAGTTTGTGGCTCACTGTATGCAGATTAATCATACATTCATATTTGCATACTTGCTTAGTAAGTAATAAAGGAAGAGGGGCAGCATGATAACCAGACAAATAGCATTTTTTAAAAAAAGATAGATCTGCAATGGCAGCCTTTATGTTCCCCTTATGTTTCCTTTTAAATGACACTAAATGATATCTTTATTTTCCAAAAATAATCCATACACATCCATTACTTAATGGTCCTGTAACATATTTTTCAGATTGTTTCTTACTGTTCTTCTGCTTCTTTGTAATATCCTGTGAGCTCCGGAACCTCTCCATTTACCCTCACTTTTATTTGTTTGGAATGAGCAGTGCATTCTAGTTGCAGTCATGTGCACACAACAAATCCCGTAGTCCATAGTCGACCTTGGAAGCGAGTCAGAGAGAGTGGCTATGTTCCTATATACAATAGGATCACATAGCTCGAACTAATGCAGGCCATAGATGGGAGAGAAAAACTGCAGATTTTTCTTTTAAAAAACGAAAAATCGGTTGTTCAAGTGGCCGACGTTACCATCAATGGTAAAAAAAAATCGGCCCGATTTTCTACCCGTCTAGAGCCGGCAAAAAGTGTCCCTGCAGAGAGCTCTGCTATTTCACAGTTCTCTGACAGTTCCTTGACATTTATAGAAGTTGCAACAATGTATCTATTTGTTTCCATTTAGGATACAGATGTTTTTATTCGGAAACAAATAGATACAATGTTTCAACCGCTGTAAATGTCAAGGAACTGTCAGAGAACTGTCAGAAATAGCGGAGCTCTCTGCAGAGACACTTTTTGCTGGACTGGAATTCTTCTTATTTTCATCCTACTTCTTCTTCTTATTATTCTTCTTCTTCTTCATCATCCTCATCCTCTTCTTCTTCTTCTTCATCCTCATCCTCTTCTTCTTCTTCATCCTCATCTTCTTCTTCTTCTTCTTCATCCTCATCTTCTTCTTTTTCTTCATCCTCATCCTCTTCTTCTTCTTCTTCTTCATCCTCATCCTCTTCTTCTTCATCATCCTCCTCCTCCTCTTCTTCTTCTTCATCCTCATCCTCTTCTTCTTCTTCTTCTTCATCCTCATCCTCTTCTTCTTCTTCCTCTTCTTCATCCTCATCCTCTTCTTCTTCATCATCCTCATCCTCTTCTTCTTCATCATCATCCTCATCCTCTTCTTCCTCTTCTTCTTCATCCTCATCTTCTTCTTCTTCATCCTCTTCTTCATCCTCATCCTCTTCTTCTTCATCTTCATCCTCTTCTTCTTCTTCATCCTCTTCTTCCTCTTCTTCTTCTTCATCCTCTTCTTCATCCTCTTCCTCTTCTTCTTTTTCTTCTTTTTGTCTTCCTCTTGCAGGTCACTGCTCATGTGCAGATTTTTTATCGGTAAATCGGCCGATTTGCCCACTAATTGCCGCGAAAATCGGCCGATCGGCAAAATCGGCCGATTTTTTTCCAACTTTACCGAAAAAACAAAAACGGCCAAAATACCGAAAAACGGCCGACCAAATCGCCCACTAACGATCCGAAAATCGGCCGATTTTCGACCCGTCTATGGCCTGCATTAGTCACCCTCTGACAGGAAGTCAGATCACAGCAGAAAAAAAAAGAATTTTTGAGATTTGCTGGAGGCTGAAATAATTTTTTGACTTAAAGCGGAGTTCCACTCACACTGTAAAAAAAATAAAAGTCAGCAGCTACAAAAACTGTAGCTGCTGACTTTTAAAAAACAGCCACTTACCTGTCCCATGATCCCGCGGTGTTCTCCCCGCAGTCCGTTTCACCAGCCGCCTGGTGTTCCAGGCGCCGGCATCTTCAGTGTGGGCACCCGGCTGTGACAGCTCGTGGTTTCACAGCCGGGTGCCCACTGCGCATGCACACGTTGCACTGTGCTTCCTGAATGGCCTCGTGAACTGTCACATGTCCCAGAAGACTAAAGGGAGGGAGGGTAGAAGGACAACTTCTGTTTCTGTGCTGCTGATCGCCTAGGCGATCGCAGAGGAAGTGGGAGCGGGTACCTGTCAATTTTGGGTACCCGCTCCCCAAAGGTGCCAATCCTTAATGGGGAGCGGGGGACCAGTCTCTAAAGCAGAGATTCCCCTTTTGGGTGGAGCTCCGCTTTAAAGGACTAATTTACCTTTTCAGAAAAAATTAAAAAGGCAAACTAACAACGTACACCTTTCCCACTCCCCCAGTCCCTGCTGTACTTACCTCCATGGATGCTGAGCTGGCAGTGCCCATGCAGCCACTGCAGCGTTCCATGGATTTGAAGTCCCTGTTCTTCTCCCTCTTCTCTCTGCAGTGCTTCCGAGATGGATCAGAGCGATTCTGACTGATCCATTCCGGCACAGAGCATCTCTCTGATCCGTCCTGAAAGTGCAGGAATTTTAAACCTGTGGATACTGACAGCTAAGTACAGCAGGGATTTGGGGGGGGGGGGTGGGTGTACAGGCAAAGGTGAACTAAAAGCGGAGTTTCACCCAAAAGTGGAAGCTCCTCTTATTTGCCTCCTCCCCACTCCACTGCCATATTTGGCACCTTTTGGGGGGGACAAGTGAGCAGGTACCTGCTCCCACTTCTGGCTCAGTTCGCCGTGGCAAAGTGATCCAGAAGTTCGGCCCCCTCCTCCATCCCGCAGTCGGACCCGCTTTCTAATTGGTCCGGCAATCGGGATGGATTATCCCGATTGCCGGACCAATTAGAAAGCGCAGCGCGGCTCATGCATGCCCAGTGGGCACCAGGCTGTGAAGCCGCAAGCTGTCACAGCCTGGTGCCCACAGTTGAGATGCCGGTGCTGTGGAGGACAGAAGTAGAGAAGGGACGGCGGGGTGAGTACATCACTGGACTCTGGGACAGGTAAGTGTGTGTTTATTACAGTTTTTGTAGCTGCTGATTTTTAATAAACACAAAAATGGCTGGAACTCCACTTTTTAGTATACATACTTGAACAGATTTGTTTTCCTTTTAAACCTGAATTTAGTGTCACTTTAATTCCTTCTGTATGCCTGCATCTGTGTCCATCTCTACTACTTTTCTGGCCAGCTGTGTTAACAAGGCATATACACACTCCTTCAATACCCTCAAAACACACAAAAGACAAGCATTCCATTAATTCATTTGACAATGTGTTAATGCAGCAGAGATGAAAACAATTTTCTTTTTGCCCAGCACAAAAGTGTTGCTGATGTCAGATGGGAAGGCCAAAGCACCTACAATATGTTGTTGTAGCAAGCGTAGAAGAACGAGGCCCCTTACCTTGCTTGTTTCATGATCACAGTACAGGAACGCCCTCCACCTGTCAGTGTGCCACATTTGCAGTAAAGGGGATATCTCTCCCTGCATGCTCCAAATACACAGGTGTGGGGGGGTACCAGACGTTCTAACCTACATACACAGTAAGATTTCATAAAATGACAGGTAAAACAGATTGTCCCTTTCCGTATGTCACTATTAGCCGTACGCGATACAAAATGATCACACAACCAAGCGGAACTAAATAAGGATTATCTCTGCAAACAATAAAACGCCTATTTCTAATTAGGTTTACATACTGGCAATCATATAGCTAGCGACATATGATGATGGTGAAAAAATTGAACTTCTTTAACCTAGCTCCATTGCTTCTCAGTTTTGCTTTAATCTGTCCCTTTTCAAACTTTAGTTCCTACAATTGTCCCTTACCTTTTGTGTGTGAGTGTGCTGATCCTTTCCAGGTGTACGGGGTGATTTGTGTGAGAGCTCAGGTATGTGTGCATACAGTATGCATAGCACTGACTCATTGCACAGCACTCCTCCCATTGGCAGGCACACCTCTTACAAATATAAAAAGCTATTAACTTTCTAGGCACCAGCCGAGTTCTCAGGAGTCCCACAGCTCCAGAGAAGCTCAACAGGCCTTCATGATCTCGGATGTTTCTGGCACATCAAGTTGTCTCAGTCCTAAGAATCTATTCATTGTATGCGCACTTTGAAGTTCAATATGCACTCACAGTATAACTTCATTCAATATTTTCAAGGATCATGTATTTGCCAAAGTTGATCCAGGTGGACATTGGTGGACTGAATCATCTACGAACTTCTCTGTCTCTGAGAGATGTCAGTGGCAAAATCAAGTTTTTGCTTTCTTTTTTTAACTAAAACAAAAGTAATGCTGATAAACAGAGCCTCGCTTCACCTCCTGCATATATAAATTACATTTTCATAGATTTTGTATTTCAATGGTTTTTATTCATTTATAAACATTTCAAGAAGAAGTAAGCAACACGACATGCCCGCACAGGGGCTATCAATGGCACATAAAAAGTAAAGAAAACAGTGCTCTAACACCAACAGAGTAAAAGGTGCGCCCACCCAGAGGCTATCAATGGCACATAAAAAGTAAAAAAAAAATAGTGCTCCAACACCAACAGAGCAAAAGGTGCGCCCACGCAGGCGCTATCAATGGCACATAAAAAGTAAAGAAAGCAGTGCTCCAACACCAACTGTGCAAAAGGTGCGCCCACGTAGGGGCTATTAATGGCACATAAAAAGTAAAGAAAACAGTGCTCCAACACCAACAGAGCAAAAGGTGCGCCCATGCAGGGGCTATCAATGGCACATAAAAAGTAAAAAAAAACAGTGCGCCAACACCAACAGAGCAAAAGGTGCGCCCACGCAGGGGCTATCAATGGCTCATAAAAAGTAACGAAAACAGTGCTCTAACACCAACAGAGCAAAAGCTGCGCCCACCCAGGGGCTATCAATGGCACATAAAAAGAAAAGAAAACAGTGCTCCAACACCAACAGAGCAAAAGCTGCGCCCACCCAGGGGCTATCAATGGCACATAAAAAGAAAAGAAAACAGTGCTCCAACACCAACAGAGCAAAAGGTGCGCCCACCCAGGGGCTATCAATGGCTCATAAAAAGTAACGAAAACAGTGCTCCAACACTAACAGAGCAAAAGGTGCGCACACACAGGGGCTATCAATGGCACATAGACCGAGGTGCTGTTAGGAACCACAGGGCCCCATACAGCCAACCTGACAGGGCCCCTGCCAACCCCCCCCCCCCCCCCCCAAAAAAAAACCCCACAGTTTATTATGCTACAGTTATGAATGAACACAGTGAGTGATCGGTACCGACCACTAATTGTGTTCATTCAGGAAAGGAAGGGGCTGATTAATGTGGCATATTTATTGGACATATTTACTGGACCCTTCCCCCACTCTCCATCCTGAAAGATCCTATTGTGTGCTTGCAGCTGCAGGTGAGAAGGGAAGCTGGCAGCACTGCAAGGGTGGGGGCACACTGGGGGGGCCTGGGCAGCAGGTGGAAACATATGGTGTACAGGGATGGTCATGGTTTGGCGGGGGGCAATTACTGGAACCAATCCCCTGTATGGCTCTCTCTACAGCAGCTCAAAGCCAGTGGGAGGGAGAAAAAGAAGCCAGCTTTCAGCTGCTGCAGAGAGAGCCATACAGGAGATCAGTTCCAGTGATTGTCTCTCACCTAGATGCCTGGCCCCCCCTGTTGGCCTGGGCCCCACACAGGAGGACTGGTGACCCCCTTATCCACGGCCTGCACATAGATTACAAAAACAGTGATATAACACAGACAGTAGCTCAAACCAAAGGCAGCTAATCACCGCCTCACGAAAGACAAACAAAAATAGAAAGGAAAGAGGAGTAGAAAAGGAAGAAGAAGACAAGGAGCAGGGGGCTGGGAACACCAACACCAAACAACATCACAAACCCAGACTAGCCGGCGGGAGCGTGGAAAAAACATATGTCAACCACGGCTCCCATATTTTAAAAAATTTCCCTTGGAAGTCGTTACAGATACTCAACATCTGTTCATTGAGCATCATAATGGTCATACGGTCCCGCACCCCTTGAAGAGAGACAGACGGGCTCTTCCATGCCTGAGCAATTTGTTCTAGTGTCAAGAACAAATAGGAAGCCAACTTCTGCTGGAGAGCTAGGAGGCCCGGTATGGGACAATGAAGCAAAGCGTACCGAGCATTCCGGTGTATGGAGAAATAGAAAAAGGTGAAAAGGCGGCCAAATACACAAGACCAAAAATGAATCAGTTTCAGGCATGACCACCAGATATGCAACACATCTCCAAAATGGCCACAACCCCGAAAGCATCGATCACTGCAGGCAGGGTTTGCTTGGGCCAAATGAGCCTGGACCCAATACCAACGAAACAATACCTTGTAGGCCGCCTCCAGCGTGGTCGTATTAAATGAGCATTTAGCTATAAACGACCAGGCCCTATTCCAGTCCTCCAGATCCACGACTGCCCCAGGTCGTACTCCCACTGAGAGAGAAGTATGCGTCAAGCGCCTGTTCAAAGCTGCATAACGAAGGGAAATAAGGCCCGGGGCGCCCGGACGCTGTTGGCAAAGCTGTTTAAAGGCAGATTTCTGATACAGGAAAGAGGAGGAAGTGCCCCGTAGTGAGCTCAGCCAATGCCACAATTGAAGGTAACGAAAAAATTCCACCTGAGGGAATTTTCATATATTTTAACACAGGGATGTTTCATAAAATGCCCAAGGCTGCACGGAAC